TATAAATACATTAATTAAAGGAATAACTCTTAACAACCTCTCAGTAAAGTAATTGTAGAGATAACTAAAATAGTTTTCTTGTTTCTAGGAGTGAAGGCTACATCCCAAGTAATTATGTAACAGGAAAGAAATCAAACAACTTGGATCAATATGAGTAAGTAAATGTTTATTTTGTGAATGTAGAAGGCAGAAAGTATTTTTGGTTTCCAGATTAAAGCATTTTAAAGATCAGTGGACAGTTTTCATTAGCTTCAAAAGAGTGTTGTCAGCATATCTTTGACTCAGCTGCCTGGTGTGGTAAGAGCCATGTTGTTGTTGTTATGTACCATCAAGTTAACTAGATTCATAGCGACCCTATGAACAATGACTCTAAACTATCCTTAACTACCCTATCCAGAGGCAACCTCACTGTCTATGACATACTTGACCCTGTTACCACAGTCACTGTGTCACTCCATCTCATCCAGGGTCTTCTTTTGCGCTGACCATATGCCCTTCGAAGCATGATGTCCTTCTCCAAACTCTGACCTCTTCTAACACCATTTCCAAAGTATGTGAGACAGTGTTTAAAAATCTTTGCCTTCAAGGTTTATTCTCACTGTAAATTAAAATGGCAAGATATAAAATAGTATGTATAGCAGGTATAAAGCAATACGCATAACATGCAATCCTCCAAGGATTCTGCTCTGGCCTAGCAGGTCAGTAGCCAGAATCAACTTGCAGGTAATACGTTCATACACTCAAGAAATAAGAACAGTTTCCCATAGTGACTCCAAAAGAAGCATGGTTTATTATTTCTTTCTCATAATATAATAGAAATATATGATGATTGTTTAGAAACCTGTCAATAAGAAAAAATATCAAACAACTACAGATGACTACTCCAGTGTCAGTCAGCATTACTATGTTTCTTTTAAATGTTCTTACTATTGTTTAAAAAGTGGCAACATGCTATAAGTACTATTGTATATCTGCTATATGCACTTCCTAAATAACATGTCTCCAGAAACTCTATGAACTTTGATAAATGTTGATAGTTGCAGAGGGGCTTTCAGGCCTTTTGTTCATAAGGTCGTTATGAGTTGTGCTCAATTCGAAGGCAGTCATCAACAACAACATCATATTGTTCTTGTTAAGTGCTGTCGAGTTGTAAATGACTCATAATGACCCTATAAACAAAAGACCTGAACACTTGTATAGCTTTCATTGTTTCTCCAAGTTTATAGGGTTTCCGGAGGCAACTATTTCAGTAGTGGATGCCACTTCTCCTTCCAAGCTTGTTTTAATCAGGGAGCTCCACCAAATACTGTCCACCATGGATAACTATTAGCACATTTGACACATCAGTGTCACAGTGTTTAGCATCACAGCAACCACAGAGTTACGTCTGTACAGCAAATGGACAGACCAGTGCTATACCACTTAGAAGAATGTTTGACCAAAAACAATTAAAACAACAACATATCCAATATTTTTTAGGGAGCTCTGGTGGTCTAGTGGCAGGAAGCAGCATTACAGTTTCAAAGTCACATCGTTTCTCAGCCTTTTGGCTAAGATCAAGTACAGTTTCAAAGTCATGAGGTTTGAAGCCATCATTTGTTCCATGGGTGAAGGATGGGCAGTCCCCTCTTGTGCGATTACCTGCCTCTGAAAACCTGAAGGAGGATCAGCTATGGGTCAATTCTAACTCTGTGGTTCACAACAACAACATTATACTGTTTCATATCTTGCCATTTTCATGTAATGAACAACATGAGTATAAGTATTTCTTATTTTTTATTAAACATTCTCTGAGAAGAATTGCATAGGTAAACCCTTAATTCATTCAAACTTGATGAACTGTTTGGAGAGCTGTCAGCATGGATTCAGACCTTAGGCATTCCACCAGGCATTTGACATGTGGACATCCAATACTTATCTTATTGGTGTGGCATTGTCTTGTTTTAGGCATCTTTACAAAATCTAAAAATTACTTGAATAACTTCTTGGTATTTATTTTCTTCAATTCTATCTCTAAATGATGAATTTTAAGTATTAGGCCAGAGGCTACGGATGAACTTTTGGATACATGAGTAAATTGACTTATAGTCAGTGAGAGAGAGACATCAGGTTGGGATAAGTAGAATGTCAGAAAGACCCTCAATGAGATGGGTTGGCACAGTGACTTCCTCAATGGGCCTGAGTATGACAGAGATAGTGAAGATGATGCAGAATAGGGCCAGGCTCAGATCTATTGTTGATAGTGTAGCTCTAAGTCCTAGTAGACTCAATGGCAGAGAATAACAACATTGGTTATATTTTTATTTTTTCAACTTCTAATTAAAGAGTGGAGGTTCAAGCCCATCTTCTAGGTACCAGAGAAGAAGGGCTAGGTAGTATAATAAAAAAGAAAACCAACAAAACTAGCATTAAAACCCCAGCAGAACTCAGTTCTACTCAGCCATGAATAGGGTCACCATGAGTCAGAAAAAACTTGATGGGTCTTTTTTAAAATTAATTCATGCTGCCAAGTTGCTTTCCAAAAATGGTACTCTACTAATATGCCCACAAGCAATATGTGGCAAGGTTTTAATGCAAGACCCATGCATACCAAACACCCTTATAGTCATTCTTGGGCTGTATGTTGACACTTTCCTCACTTCCTGAAAGAAAAGAAAGTCCACAAAAAAAAACTATTTTCCCATCATTACCCTGTATTTTCACCAGGATCCTTCCTGTTTCCTTCCCCAACCCTGTCCACCCATCACACTGTGCAACCTTGTGTTTTTGCCTCTACCCATCCTCACCTCTCTGCACTCACTCCTTCCCTCCTTGGGATCCCATACATGCTTTATTAGTTATCCTTCTATTTTTACAATAACGGTCTTATGCGGTGTTTGTCCTTATGAGACTGAGTTATTACTCACTCAGAATCATGCTCTCCAGTCTCTCCCAAGTTGTGTCGTTTTTGTCTTTTTAAATCTTTGCTCTTGAGTGCTGCATAGTATTACATTGTGTGAATGTACCACAGTTTCTCAAGACATTGAGTTGTGGCTGGGCATTTGGGCTGGTGTCCATGCTCTTGCAATGGTGAATAACACTACTATGAACACTGTGTACAAATCTCCATTTGTGTCTCAGTTCTAATGTCCTTGGGGTATATTCCTAGTAGTAGAATAGCGGGGTCAGTGGAATTTCTATGTTCAGGTTTTTTGAGGAAACACTAAACTGACTTCCAGAGTGATTGTACCATTGCATAGTCCCATCAACAGTATATGAGAATTCTCACTTCTCCAACATTTATTGCTTGCTGCCCTACTGAACTTTGCCACTGCTACTGGGGTGAGATGGTATCTCATGGTTTTGTGTAAGGGTGATCGATTTTCTAAAACGTAATACATGAGAATGATTGTACAAAACACAATATGACAAGGAATAGTGTAAAACACAATGTATACAAACTTTATAAGCAAACCAATGAAATATAAACAAAGAAATAAAAGCTAAAAAAAAGCCAAAAGCTCTTTCCTCTGCCCTCACCAACTTTCTATAGTATATTAAAGTACAGAAAAGGATTAATAGATTCAAGAAGTCGTAGCTTGCCACTGTTTTAACAATATGTAAAGAAAGTATTTTTGGTCTTAAATTCTTTTTTAGGACTATCCAGCAACATTTTTCAATTTAGGGACGATGCTAAGAGATATCTTGGTTTTAAAATCAGTATGAATGAGAACTAAGTGATAATTTGGAAAGAGGGAATTTGAAATGAGACAATCCTTATCCAAGGCTGAACATTTCTCTTATAAGTCATGGGATTTTAAGTATGAATTCTAGAGAATGAAGTTTATGATTCATTGCCATGAGTTTTGGGATGTATTTTAATTTGGAAAATTTCTCTTTTCTGGGTGTCTTCCCTATATGTTTAAAAACAAGACCTTAGTTGTAACTTTTTGTTTGTGTAGGTGGTATTGCAGAAATATGAACAGAAGCAAGGCAGAGCAGCTCCTCAGAAGTGAAGTAAGTATTTACACTTGTTTTGTGGCTTTGGCCTCAGCCTAAATTAATTTCAGTAATTCCTAACTGATATACTTCTGGGATTTTGATTGATTGTGTTTTGGAGGTTTGGAGTTCCCTGACTCCCCCAATTTATTAAGGAGCTCTGGTAGCCTAGTAGTCCACACTTCCATCCTGAAGGAACCAGCTGGTCTTTGGGAGAAGGATGGGCAATCTTCTCCTGTGCTATTAACAGCCTTGAAAACCCACTAGTGTGTCAGCTATGGGTTGGTTTCGACTTGATGGTCCACAACAACAACAAAGGGTATCTAGATCAGGAAGGTGTTGTGCAAACAGAGCAAGGAAGCACTGCATGGTTTAAAATATGGAAGGGTTATATCCTTTCTCCATACCTGTTCAATCTATATTCTCAGTAAATTATTTGAGAAGCTCGACTCTATGAAGAGATATGTGGTTTCAGAATTGGAGAAGACTCACCAATCACCTTGGTTGTACAGAAGATTCAACCTTGCTTGCTAAAAGTGAGGATGACTCGAAACACTTGCTGCAGAAGATGAAACACTTCAACCTTCACTATGATTGGCATCTCAATGTCAAGAAACAAAAGAATTCTGTGGCTGGACCAATAGACAACATCATAATGGACAGAGAAAAGATTGAGACTGTCAACAACTCCATTTTACTCAGGTACACAGTCAACATAATTTGTACCAGCAATCAAGAAGTCAAGAGATGTATAGAACTGGGAAAGTCTGTAGTCAGGGACCTCACCTAATTATTGAGGAGGATGGATGATTCCGTTTGAGGACAGAGGTGCACCTGATTCAGGTCATGGTGTTCTCAGCCACTTGCTATGCGTCTGAGAGCTGGACAGTGACTAAGTTTTAGACAGAAGAAGAATAATAGATGGCTTTGAACTGTGATGTTGGAGAAGTGTATTGAATACCCCATGGACTGCCAAAAGGACAAGCACAAACTTCTTGGAGAAAGTGCAGTCAGAATGCTTCTTGGAGGCAAAAGTAATGAAGCTTCTTGTCATATACTATGGGGATTTTGCTAGGAGAGGCTACTCCTCAGGGCAAGACATCATGCTTGGAAAGGTAGAGGGATGGTGAAAGAGAGGAAGACTCTTGACCAGGTAAATTGACTTGGTGACTGTGTCAATGGCTTGAATATGTCATAGATTGTGAGGATGGCATAGGATAGGAGAGTGTTCAGATTGTTTGTTCATAGGGTCCCTATGAATCATACTCGACTTGATAGCACCTTACAACAGCAATAAATGAGTATGATTTTGGTGGCCTAGTGGTAAGAAGCTATTCTAATATCCCAAAGGCAAATGGTTTAAATCCACCAGATTCAGTTAAGTGTCTGGATTCCCTCTCTTCTCTAGGTTAGCCACAGTATGTTGTGATTCACACAGCCCAATACCTTCTACATAACAAACTACAAACTAGTAGGAAGGAGAATATAGAAAAATATCAGCTATTCTATATGGGCAGTTTCCTCCCATGCAATTTACTGCCTCTGAAAACCTACTGGAGGATCAGCTGTGGGTCGGTTCCAACTTAGTGTCACGCACCAACAACTATGGGTATAATTAGCTCTCGGAGCTAAGTGGTAATGAGTTGAGCTGCCGACCTAGAGAAATGCAATTAGTATCCATCAGTTGCTCCTCCCTCTGTGTGATTTAGAGCCTCTAAAAACCCTCTGGAGTTGCTTCCAACTTGATGGTACCTAACAACAACAACAATGGGGACGACTTATATAATCGGTGACATTTTTCTATATTCTCCTTCATGCTTGAAAGGATGGAAGGACAGTGCAAGAGAGGAAGACCTTCGATGAGATGAGTTGATTCAATGACTGAGGTAATGAGGGTAGGTGTGTGAAAAACAGTAAGGTTGGCACAGAATAGAGCAGGTTTCAGGGTTGTTTTACATAGGGTTGTTAGGAGGCATAAGCGACTCGATGGCACATAACAACAACAACTAATTTGTAGTTTGTTACCTTGATGGACTAAAGGCATTTGTCTGTGTGAATCACAACATACTGTGACTAACCTTAAGAAGAATAAGAATCCAGAACACTTGATTGTGCTCATACAAAACCTATACTTGAACCAGGAAATAGTCCTCAGAACAGAGCAGAGAAACATGAATAGTTCTAAATCAAGAATGGTGTGTGTCAGAGATGTGTCCTATCTCCTTACCTTTTCAGTCTATATGCAGAACAGATAATTTGGGAGACTGAACTTAATGAGGAAGAATGTGGCATCAGGATTGGAAGAAGACTAATCAACAACCTACCTTATGCAGATAACACAGCTTTGCTTGCTGAACCTGAGGAGGACCTGAAGCATTTGCTGTAGAAGGTCAAGGCCTGTAGTTTTTAAATATGGATTGAAGCTTAACATCAAGAAGACAAAGACTCTCAACCATTGGGCCAAATGGCAGCACCATTATAGATGGAGACAAATTGCAATAGGAAAATCTGCTGTCAGGGATATCTCCAGAGTGCTGAAGAACAATGTCAGTCTAGAGCCATGGTCTTTGCAATTACTTGCTATACATCAGAGAGCTGGACAATCACTAAGGATGATGGAAGATGTATTGATTCCTTTGAGATGGACTGCCAAGAGAACAAACAGGTCTGTCTTGGAGGGAGTGAAAACCAAGCTGCTCTAAGCTGGAGGTAGGATTTTGAAGTTCTTTCTCATATACTTAGGGTGTGTTGCCAAGGGTAGAGGGACAACACAGAAGAGGAAGACCTTAAATGAGATGGATTGAGACAGTGACTGGGGTAATGGAGGTAGGTGTGTCAGAGACAGTGAGATTGGCTCAGGATAGGGCTGGGTTCAGAGCTGTTGTAGAGAGGGTCACTATGACTCACAGGCAACTCAACAGCACATAACAACAACAACTAACAATCTTGAATTTAGTGCTTACATGTTTTCTCTGTTTTCCCTTGAAGGTAAAATATGTATGTCTACCAATGACACCTAACAATAACAACAACAACACGTTATCTACTTCTACTGTAAAGGAGATACCACAAGTGAATGGCTTTAACAAATAGATTTCCCCCCCCTCTCACAGTTTAAGAGGTTGTTGTTATGTACCATCAAGTCAGAACTGACTGATAGTTGACTCTCAAGTGGGTGTTCAAAGGCAGTAAATAGCATGAGAGGAGATAGCTCAGCTTTCTCTGATGGAGCAGCTGGTGGACTCCACTCCCAGAAGTAGGATTTCTCTCTGCATTTCTTGGTAGTTGGAGTTCCCTGGCCCAGGACCTTGGGTCTAAAGCATACACTCAGCTCCAAACTCTTTTTTTTCTTGGTGTTACTGAGGCTCTTTGCTCTCTGCTCAATTTTCTCTTCTCAATCTCTTGTAAGGCAAAAG